AAAAAATGATAGATGAATAGCGTAATTTATGGTGACTCATCAGAAAAATAATGTTAATATAAGAAATGAATTTAATTTTTGAAGATTCATGAGGTACATGAACTACAACGTTTCACGCCGGCATATTTGTCATGAAGCGCTAACGCGCTTCATTAAATATGCCGTCGTGAAGTGTCGTAGTTCATGTCCTCATGAATCTTCAAAAATTAAATTCATTTCTTAAATATATATCTTAAGAGAGAGAGAATTCAGAAGAGGAGAAATCTCGCGCGCCCCGCTCATGCAGTCTTCTTGTAATTTTGCACGGCATGCAATCCGCGAAACTGAAACTGCCATACACTAGCTAAAGACGGATATGCTCTCAGGATAGGAAACAAATCCTTACAATGTAAACAAAACGATGATATCTACTTCCGGTATTGTCGATATGGTGACCTCTGATTGGCGGAAGCTTCCTGTAGCGGAGCAATTTGAATGGCGAGGCAAAAGGTCACGTGACCAGAGGAGGAAATACTGTGAAGATAGCAACAATGTAAAACAATATTAAGTCATTAAAAAAACATAATAATAAGCGAGTACTCTTGTACCCAGAGAGCGGTCAATCACTTAGCATAAAGTTCTATAGGAAACTCCTCAACGTTGCGTTATCAGCGACGATTCATTCTATGACGTCATAATTTCTAGATAATGATTAATTAATGAAAATGTTATATACTGCTACTTAGTGTTATAACACTTACAAAGTTACTTAATTCTTTACTCTGTGGTGCAGTGTATTTAACTGAGTGTCTTTGCAGTTCAGTGAAGAGTTCTTAGTTTTCTTGTGATTTGTTAAACCTTGATTTAAAAGCATCGTTCTGGTAAATTCATTTTTTTTTTCTTCAGTATACATCTTTGTCATCTTAATGCATCCACTAAATCCAGTGTAATTCGAATTGTCCCACGTGCTATGAAGTTGTTTATAAAGTCCTCGGGGTAACGTTCTAGAAGGCCATCTCTAGAGGGGTTTTTAACCTGAAGTAGACATGCAGGCTTAATATATTCGTCATCTGCGGGGTCTTCGTTAGATAGATAAGAACATACATTATCAGTTTTCAAAGGAAATCATTTTGAAAAACACATTCCTCGAACTTAAACCATACTCTCCCATCAGGAGTCAATGAACATGTTGTGTCCCTCTGTAAAGGCTGAACTGTGACCGAGGACACGCGCTACACTGGTCCGCTATCAAAGAATGCTTCGATGATCGCGCGGGAAGACTCTACAGAATGCATTCTCATCAGCGTGTATAGGTAAACTGTCATTCATTAAAAACCTGTTCCTGCAGTTCAGTGCATCAATATGATTTAAACCCCGTGACGGGCGTAGACCTGGCCGCCATAAACAGAAGTCAAGTAGGGTCAAGAGGGTTCATGAAAGCAATCTCATTTAATAAGGTTCATTCACGTTTTGTTTCAACAAGTTGTGATTTAATGGATTCATATCCATAAATATTTACTCCAAAAGAGCATCGTACGTTAAGAAGTTAACACTAAAAGATTGCGAACTCAGGGGTCGGGCTCGCGTTACACAATTAAATGTCCTGGACGGAGATACCTATCTCGAACTGAAAGAGGAAGACCATTAATAAGTTTCATATCGGCAAAATTGCAATTATTTGTATCGGTTATCAACCTTTAATGGGGATTATGTGTCAATAAAAACATGAGCACATTGATATCCCTGCTTTAGTAATTTATCTGAACAAGGTACGGTAAAGTTCGGCCCCTTGTCGTACTCGGTACGCTAAGAGAAATGGAGTCACTTGCTTTGGAATTTAAAAATCAATTACCAACATGGAAATAATTTGTAAAATAATGATAATAAAAACAGATATACCAGACGATGTAATTAAGGAATCATTCTTGGTGTAGACAATGACTCATGAGAATGTTTGGGTGAAGTTTTCCTTGTATATTTTATACGCATGAGCACTTGATTTTATCAATGAAATTCGGAACAAGTCACGATATTCTCTTACCTTCCTAGACAAGTCAGTATAACAGGGGCTAAATATAAATCTCTTTCTTTGCACTTAATAACACGACGGATTGAAATTTAGGATAAGGAGCACCTGCCCGTCCCAACCTACCCCCAGACTGACCCAATTTCTTTACTTCTTCCAGACTTTCGCTTCGTTATCAGATAGATACAAGTATATGCTGTAGATAAGCGTGTTTGTTCGCGCAGTTCCAACCACGCAACGAACCCGGCGACCGTGGTACCGGTCTTTATGTGACCCAAGCTTCTGGGGACGTCTATCCCGTTATGTATACAGCAATTATCGGAAATTCAAGACATCTTGGTCTATGCATAGTTTAAAATCAGCGCACAGCGATATTGGCGGTGAATGCTGGAAACGTATATCTGATAAGCCTCTTTAGAAAGAATTGAATTTTTCTGTCGCACAAGTAAACATTTCCCAAAATAAAACATCCTAAACTGAACCTCGATAAGTGCGCTATTTCTCGCCCATTGAACTTCAACATTTTGTTTTTAAAATAGACAAGATTAGTTATAAAAATACGAAATATTTACGTTAAACTTTTATCGAAACAAAGAAAGCAGAAATCTCTTTTATTTAGTAACTTCTTTGTTACTTAAAGTACACACAGAGGTGGAACAAGGCCTAAGAATATTTGTTCATCGGACATGAGATTGGGGGGAAAAAATCCCACACAAGTACTATATGCATTCATAAATCCTCAAAAGTACAACGTGGGTGAAAAACATATACTGTCATAAAGATGTAACCAACCATTAAATTTCGATACTTTGGAATGGACTTAAGTCGTCGTAAAAATTGTGTTTTATGTCGAGCAAATGTTACGAATAATTAAGAAATAAATAAATAAATAAAAATAAAATAAATACAAAAGTAGTCATGGAAATCGCGATGAAAAAGTAATGAAGGAAAGTCATAGTAAAAAATGCTACTTTTGTCGATAAATTTTGGCAAATATGCATTTTGAAGAATAATACTGTTTCTCTCTCTCTCTCTCTCTCTCTCTCTCTCTCTCTCTCTCTCTCTCTCTCTCTCTGTGGGACATTAAAACATTTTTTTTCTGCAGATGAATTCTTTTTAACATATTTAAGTGCTCTTTTGGGGGAAAAAAATGCGCAAGTTGTGACCTTTAATTTTTTTTAGTACAAGGAAGAGAAGAAATTCTCGGAATTTTAAAAAGCTAGGACGCGTCGACAGTTGTTGAAACAGGATCACTTGACCGCGATTATTTGAGTAATAGATCTGATAAGCGGAGATAGATTTCTATATGTGGGGGCAACGCTGCAAAACGATGCACGCAATTCGTCTCCGCATGCACGAACCATGCAGACTCGATCTTGGAATTCTCGGTTATGAAACTGAAAACAAACATCATGTAGTCTGGCGCAGTTCTCTGACAATGTCGTGCATGAATATTCCGATCTCAGACTACTGACTGTCAATGTTCCCTGGAATGTCGTTAATTAAATAATCCCCATCTCTCCCTCCCTCCCCAACGCCCCTCACCCCATCCACCCAGCCTCAGCCTTTTCCGTGAGTATCACCTTTTATATACGTGAAATTCCTCGTTTGTTGTTCGCTTTCTTTATTGTGATATTTTTTTTTCTTCTTTAAAATTCCTTTTTATTTATTTTTCAATGGAACAAACATAAAAATGAGACAAACATGTTTTATTTATTGAGAATCCTGTCTTGTAATAATATACACATACATGTATACATGTAGATTTTACATGTTATTTGAAATTCAGACGACGAAGCTTGTGCATGTCATATAACCAAAGTCCGGCGATCAATTGTCCCCGAGGTCCGGTATATTTGAACACTCGTGGTCATTACGTATGTGTCCTTATATCAACTCAGTGGACCCGACTTTACTCCAGGATACAAAGGGGGACACAAGGGGGAAGTACTTCTGTGGATTGACGTCAGAGAGAGAGAGAGAGAGAGATGCAGCTTAAATCAAAAATCTTTTGTAAACTAATCTTTAGTCCCACTTTGATGGAGTTTTTTTTCTTTTTGCTTTTAAATTTATTTTACGCTTACAATTCTATATATGCTAAGAGAGAGAGAGAGAGAGAGAGAGAGAGAGATGGGGGGATGTGGGTGCGGGTGTTTCTAGCATATTCCAAATCGTATGAATTTTGTTTTCTTATACATATGAAGTGTACACTTAAAGTATTCTTTACAAACAAACAAACAAAAAAAAATCTAAAAATTAATAATAACAACAATAATTAATAAATACTAGTAAATGAAAAAAAAAAGTTCAAATATTTTATATACAAATTAACTGCATTAAAAAATGTTACGAAATCCCGATATGGACGCGTCTTGTTGGACATCCATTGTCCTTCACCCTGACACACTTTGAGCCGTCCACGGTTGCGTAAATACTATGAAGTCCGTTCTGTGACCTACTTATAACCTTGTCTGAACGCTATATCACGCTTCTATAGCCTGCCGTATATGTTCTATATTAATCCCTGAGTCGCCCAGGGTTCAGTATTTGCGCAGTTCGTGTATATAAACATTGTATACCTACCTTTGGCACGATGCCAAAGAATGTCGCGATAATGTATTCAATAAAAAAATCCGATTCAAGTTTTAGAGCTATAGCATTTATCGACGGGCATATTTTCCCCGTGGCATTTTTTATCTTAGTTTTTTCTGGTTATATAATATAAACAAACATTCATTTTACTCACTTCTGACATACTAGCATTTCTGGTGAAATCGGCTAATCGCAGCGCAAGTTTGACGCATGAATTTGATGGAATCCTCTCATTTTTCAGATCACATACAACTTTCTCTTCAGAAAACCACAGAAAAGATTTTTTTCTTGAGCTCTGCTAACGGCGCTGATAAACATATATTCTATATTTAACAACGTCGCGTGAAAACTTGAAAAAACTCTTTCCAGGAGCTTTCTGTCATAAAATAACACAACAAGCATGTAATTTTAAAATTCAAATTTTATTTTATTATTTTTTAAACCAAGGATTTTTTCCATTTATTTATCATTCATAAAAAAATAAGTTATATACAATGATGCAATAGTACAGGTTTATTGACCATCAATAAATTAACTCCCGCTCAAACACACTCGACATTTCATGTCTTTACACAACTCAGCATTTACAACAACTCCCATATAAAAAAAAAATTCTTCCGCGCATTTATACAATAAATTAAAAATGGCTATTTACAAATGAAAAAGAAACTTTCCGATACAGTATCCATTCCGACTTGAATCGGAAAATAACGAGGTGTATGCGGTGTTGATGATTTGTATGGAGAATCTGCATTTCTGAACAATGAATGGAAAAAAAATAATGGGAAAAAAAAAAAAAATTATCGGGGCGAAGTAAAAAGGGCAGAATTGTGTCAGGTGATTTAATCTATTTTAAGAATATTTTAATGGTAAGAGTATTTGTTATTTTTCTTGGTTTCTTGGAACAAAAAACCAAAACGTCGAGAGATAGAGCATATTTCAATATAGCGCGTCTGGCCTATAAAAAAGCCAAGAGCACCTTGTCAGATTTTAACTTGAAATATGCATACATTAAAAATAGTATGCTGCTAGACGATTGATAGCACCAAACTGATGTGTAAACATTTTTTGAAAATGCTTTCAAAAAAGGGGAAAATTGTTCAGCAATGCAGAGTACCCTCTCCTGCATTGGAATGGCAGTATTTGGCGAAATTCATATCCAGAACTTGCACCTTGTTTAGTTTTTGCAATTTCTTACAAAAAAAATTTTTCCTTTCAAATGAATACATAATTTGAGCATTTTGTTTTGCATATTTCAGAATCAATTGAATAGACATTCTTTTTTTTTGACCTTTGAGGTTATCATTAAAAAAAAGTCTTTTTGTTTCAATTGTCTTTCTTTCATCTGAAATTCTTTGGCATCCAGTTTTTCTTTCCAATCACATTTTTTAAAAAAGAAAGTTTCTTTGAGAAATCCTTCTTCTGTTTTTCCCGGGGAGAAATTTTTCGGTACAGTAGTATCCATCTGACAAGAAAATTTCCCTGAGATACGGAATATGCAGTGTTTGAACACTATCATTGGTTCGTGTGTTTGAACACTATCATTGGTTCGTTGAAGTTTATTTCACTGTCTCTCAACAATAAATAATTTGAACACTACTGGGGGCCTAAAAGTTCCTGCTAGCGTCATATGCTTTCTTGGCTGCTCATACTCTCCCCATCCATAGAGCCTGTTGAAGACATGTTGTTATTGGAGGGGGTACGAATGACAAGCTTATCCACAGACAACTGGGTGGGGGCCATCCAGGGGTGACTGAGGATGTCCTCTAAACTAGGGCGATCCGATGGACGGATGGATAGACACTTCCTTATCAAATCTTTTGCTTCTGAAAAAGTAAAAAAGACCCATTTTTATAAACAAATTCATTTACTTTTGTTAATGTGGAATATATATATAAATATTTTAAATTTGGGATTGCATAATGAACATTTGACGTACCATGTGAAAGCCTGCCCCTGAAGCAAACTTCAGCTTTCATGATCTGCTCATCCTGTTCAAAAGGGATGTCTCCACACACCATGTCAAACAAGAGAATACCCAGAGACCAGACCGTCGCAGAACGACCATGGTACCGATGAAACTTAATCCATTCTGGTGGACTATACACTCTTGTTCCTGAAAAACACAATTTTATCAGAACAATTAAAAACTTGTTATTAATTAATGGACAGGTAAAAACGTTGATTTGTTGAATGAGTCATTAACGGCCCAGAGAGCACTTAACAAAAGGGCTTATTTATGAGTAATAGATTCTACAGGTGGAAACAATTTCTGCTTGGCATCACTGGTCTATTGAGTGAAATTTCTAGGACAATAGTCACGCTTCAGTGATTAAAGGAATATCAAACCTACTGCGCGGTAAAGTACTCCATGACCATATGCTCAAAATTTTCGACCAGAAAAAAAGAATATTAAATAACTGGTTGTGTCAAAATCAATGTGCCTTTTATTTAAAAGTCAGATTGACCCTCCGGCTATTAAATGACCAAGCATTTAAGAATGAGCTCAGGTGTAATTCAAATGATTTCGTCACATGGCGCATTTCACAATAGCAAACCCTACTGTGTTGGAAGTTTATAGCAACTAGAATTTAAAGCCCTAGTGCCAAAGAATGCTAGCGAATTTGACCTTAATCCATAGCACATGTATTAATCCCGCGGTCAATTCGGGTTTAATCAAATAAGAGCGATTAGATAACGCAGGCCAAGTAAAGACTTGGCTGCTGTGCTAAAAATAGCACATAGTGCGCTGCTAGATGCTGATAAATTTTGACCCGCTCAGTGCATCTGCCAACTCGCGTTCTATTGGGGTCGGGAAAACCTAATATGGAAGATCGCACCGACTTTAGAAATTTACACAATCCAGTAATGCCATTACAGAAAAATCACAAAATATTCACAATACAGACACTCACCATCAAAAGTTAAATACACTGTGTCTCTTAAAAAAGCCCCAGAGCCGAAGTCAATTAATTTCAGTTCTCCAGTTTTCAAGTCGATTAAAATATTCTCATCCTTAATGTCTCTGTGAACTACTCCGTTTTTATGAATGGCGATTAATGTCTCTACAATTTGTCGGAAAAATTTTCTGCTAGTTTCCTCGTCTAATGCACCTTTCTCCGTGATGAAGTCAAATAAGTCCTGTACATGCTCAGGCTTTTCCATCACTATCACAAAATAGTTTTTCATTTCGTACCACTCAAACATTTTTATAACTCCATTACACATAGACACCTTTTTCAGTAGACATATTTCCAGAGGAACTTGATGTCCGTTGATGGATCCCCATTCGATGACTTTTTCTCTTGCTATCAATTTTATAGCGACCTAAAAACCAAGAGCAAATATTTTTATAAGCGTGTCATAAAATTAATACAAAGTAACAAACTTTGAAATTTGACACATGCACTTAATGACGTTTAGCGCGTCCCGATTTTTTCCGCGGGAAAACTTACTGGCATATTGTCTCGTTTCCGTGTTCCAGCGTACACTGTGCCGAACCCTCCGCTCCCCAGAGTAGGGCCAACATTGTAAGCTTTGGTGAAGCTATCCTTATCTCGTACTAAAAAACAAAACATGAGTAAATTTAAATCAAGCTGTTCTACTCCATGATCCTTAACAACACTTCCCTAACATATTGTACACAGTTCCATGCATAAAATACTCAAAACCTACCTTTCACGTCCTTTTCCTGAGGCGTATTTCCATTACAAGAAAACATATTTAAATTTTCCTTTTTTGAAAACATATTACACTCTAAAACATTGTCACTGTTTTGTAATGATCCGTGTACGAGAGAAGCAACGTCGTTGCGAGCGAATCGACGGCTTGTTATTATCTGAGCATACAAGGCTCTGTGTTTGTACTATGAAGTTTCAAATCAACAATTGCGGGAATTAGAACACGATTACTCCGCAGTAAGAGTCCTGCCCACTTGGCGTCGTTCCAAAAATATTAAGACAAACTAAAACAGTTTTTCTTTTAAAATTAGTGGTATTTTGTGAAATTGAAATTTTACTGAAATTAACAACAACGAAAAACACAGAAATTTCTTTCAAATTTTGAGTAGACAGGGGAACTACATCTCGCGGAGTTTTTCTGTCTGGATCTAGCTTAAACTATATTTTGGCTCCCGGCCAACACACTATTGCGCTTCACTGCATTCATGGAATGCGTGTTTACAGATCTTAGCCAATCAAAAGAGTTGGCGCGTTTTAGATCAATTGCATTACGTATCGATTCATGCCCACCTCGAAACCAAAACAAAGCGGCGTGGTTATAGAAAATACAGTAGTTATGCATAGCTGGAAAGTCAGATATATATGGCATATAGATCTTGTTTTTTTTAAGCTGTATATGATTTTCGCTTCTTTTTTTTTTTAAATTCATATATATATATATATATATATATATATATATATATATATATATATATATATATATATATATATATATATATATATTATTTTACCTGTGTCCCATCACAGACCTAAAGCAATTGTCTATGATTTGATAATTGTTTGATAACAAAATGATTTACATCGTCTAGTTGATGAGAAATTTTATTGAATATTGAATGCTATATACAATATTGCCTTTAACTATCAAGAATTTTAAAGCGCGCATAGATCGACCACATTTTTTCCCACGGGTAGTAGCTAAGCTAGGTAGAGTGAAAGGTGATAAAGAAATACCTTTGTACCTATCTACCTACCCCACGCTATTTATAGAAGTTAAATCAACAAACAGTGTTACTGCGTGACGCTAGGTGAATGGTAACGCGGGCCCGCTCTCTCTCTCTCTCTCCGTTCAGACCTCAGTCATGGGACACACACGCTGGCCTTCTGTCAACTATTTATTGTTATGATCATCATATGTCTACATGCTTTTTATAAAATTCCCCCAGATTAAAGTCTAATCTAGTCTTAAAGAAGAGGCTTGAGTATGTTTTTCCCTCGATCTCTTAAATACTATTGTAAAATGATGATGAGATTCAAATAAATAAATGAACACATAATCACATGTGTGTCTACAAATATTACATAATATGCTTCCTGGCCTAAGGGCAGATAACTTCCTTGTCGTTACGCTCAAGTTTTACATATGGTCAATGGGAAATAACTCGTATTTCCTTTTAGAAAACTTGATATACCAGTTGTCTACGTTGGGTTTTACAAGCACCTATCCTGGGGCCTTGAGAAAGGCGTAAACTATTTAAACAGATCAAAGCAAAAACCGGCGTCTTCCTTAATGTGAAATCCCACAGCAGAAGTCGGAATGTTGTTAATGAATTTAAAAATTACCGTATAGACTCTTTTTTTTAATACAACAAATGTCGGATGATAATGGAAGCAAACAAATTAAAAAAAAATATGAAAGTTTTCGTAATAAAGGTTTATGTACCGCGTTTAGAGAAGGTGTTGTCATATTTTATGCAAGATATATTTTAGCCTCGTAGTATATTCGTATAACACTGTATAAACTGACTTGATCCATGTGATGAAGTGCTTATAATATATATCAGTATATATCAAAATCGTACAAATTTACTTGAAATGCGCGGAGTCATTCATTAGTTGATTGATACGAGAGAGAGAAAAAAAGACACGATCTGATTAAAATTAGGGTTTACACGTCTACAAGTTTCAACAATAGTACGAAAGCTCTTCATTTGTCTGTGCAACTTGATAAAAAGAAATGCTTCATGTGGTAAGGGAGGCCACTCGCAAACGTGTTCATAAAAGGCCGAAAAAATATTACGATTCAAGTTACCCCGCTTGCTTGTTCCTTCAGCATTAATCGGTTTTAATGTGATATACGCTACACACGACCGTTGAAACGGGGATGGGGGTTAGGTGGGGGTTAATTTTGCTAAGACTTAGCTAATTTACAGTTGTGCCCCGACAATAGTGTAGCTTCTAAGGTTTTTTTGGCTTGTTAAGAAATTTTTGTTTCCTTGTGCCCGCCTTCTCAAAATTTTCTAATGACTTGCAAGATCAAATACCGAGGAAGCGATAGATGCCAAACTAATGACAAATTGGCTAATCACATGGTTTGCTGACAATTAAACAAAACTTTTCTATATAACATTGACCAAACAGCTTTTTGCATGCATATTCCACTCTATTTTTCTAAATTGAATAAGAACTTACTTTTCATTATTTTGTCTTCGTCCATATTGTCACATGTAAATTTCTTTTTCCTGAGTAGTTTTCACAGAGTCGTCCAGAAAAGCGTGCCACGTTACAACAAGAATCCCTGTAGAGTTTTTTGTGACACAACTCACTCTAGCGGGTATATATCAAGTCACGTGACCGATAATGAGGAGTCACTCAACCTTGACCGAGAGAAAGGTGTTGATACCCACACTCTTTGACACCTCGGTCATTTCTGTCCAACCACTTACACTGACGTCAGAGAATAGTGTCAAATCTAACTGATTGTTTCACTTATTTAACGCGAGAACTAGTTTTATTATGCTTTGATTATTAATATCATGTTTGCTTAAGGAATTATTATGACAGATTTGCAACAAGGAACCACCCGTGTTTCTTTTAATAATATTATTCAAAATCTTACAAAGAAATGTTCATAATGATTATGAGAGAGAGAGAGAGAGAGAGAGAGAGAGAGAGAGAGAGAGAGCAAAAAGTGACACGTAAACGTAAGGAACAAATATTTACTCACAAGACTAGCTACGACTTGATTGCATCTCACTAAAACTGTCATTTATTTTCCCGCAATATCGTTAGTAGCCCCAACTGTGGCGAGATTGAAACTTCTGAACATTTCCTCCTACATTGTCCTTATTTTGAAAATATCAGAGATAGATTTATTTACACACTTCCTCAATATATAAACACCAATATATTATTATTTGGTGACCAAAATCTTTCCATTCGCAGAAAATGTTGCAATCTTTAAATCTGTCCAAAAATATATTGTAGCTACAAAAAGATTTATATAATCAGTTTTTTCCCTTAGTAGACCTCCGCCGTGGGTATGTACTTGTATATTCTCTTAAGAGTGTGTTTTTATTAATTCATTTAATTTTTTTTCTTCAGCTGTGTATTAATATATATTTTTACTACTGTACCACTCCTGTATTTCTTCTTTAATTATTTTTTTCTGTGAATTCAACCATATTTTGCTCTCTCTCTCTCTCATACATACCGTACATAAATACTCCTGTACAGTTCTTTTTTCATATATATATATATATATATATATATATATATATATATATATATATATATATATATATATATATATATATATATATATATATATATATATAAATTAATACGGAAACGGATTAGTAGAAGTTTATTAAAACTTGTTTCCGGAACCTTTTTGATTGTGTGTACTACTTGCCTGTATTTTCTGCTTGTCATTTTTAAATAAAATATGGTTTGAACTAAAAAGTGACAGTCAACAAATGATTAAATCATAATTACTAATAAAATATTGAATCTAATTATTATGAGTTATAAAAAATACGATGGAAACAAATAGTAAGTAAATAATAATTATTACAAACATCAACTAATTATAAATCACTATAAATTATTATTCACAATTTATGATCATTTCAGAAATTCAAAATTCATTAATGATTATGAAAATGGTATTGAAATTCTCCTTTTATTTTGTTCTATCGATATAATTACCGCAATGAAATCTCTTTTACTTTGTTCTATCGATATAATTACCGCAATGAAATCTCTTTTATTTTGTTCTATCGATATAATTACCGCAATGAAATTCCTTTTATTTTAAATATACAAACTAAATATATAAGCTCAATTAATTCATGTTGGTTTCACAAAATTAATATAAAATATCTTTTAACAACAGCTTAAATTCTTATTATTAACGAAGATACATGTTAACCTAAATGATCAGCCCCCTCCCCTGTTTCTGTTGTTAGGGTGTTAATTAAAGTCATCCACCGAACCAGACGATAAAACGCAATTTAGAGCAAAGACCTCGCTTATCAAGATCTGTCATATTAAAATCAAGATATAAACAGTGGGGGGTAAGGTCCCCCTACAGACGAGGGACCGGTCCCTCCTCAATAAATACAGATCGTAAATATGCCGGACAATGAACAGGCATATTCACGTGCCTCAATTTATTTAGGAAATTATCCGGAAAAACTGGATTTTGACACTTGAGAAAATCGCCACGTGTGTTGTTAATTGAGCGAGTAATTTTGTACAGGTGTGGAATGCTTCCATTGGAAATGTCAAGTCCAGATTATGAGCATTTAGGTATAATTAGAACCATCAAATGGACAGTGATGAGGCTAAATAAACTGTCTTTTAGCCAAGGTCAAACAACAAGGTTACTGAACACAAAACTAGAATGACTTTCTGTGAAAAAAAAAATACTAGTCACTAATAACTAAATAAATCAATATATCATTTAAAAAGTTGTCTCGTAATTATGACGTATATACATTGTATTTTTTTTAAACTTCTGTCTGTTTGGTAATCGTAAAAAAAATCTCAATTTGAATGAATATTTAGAATTCTCCCTTGAAACGCATCTATTTGAATGAGAAATCTTTGGCCATATCAGTAAATGGGGTCGAAGACTGTCATCAACAGCTTTTCCGAAAATTTGTACAAAAACTGTGCTAAAAATGTTCTAAATTAAAGCATTCTCACTACCATTTTAGATGACGCATTATTATTTACAGTAATGTTCATTTCATTTCTGAAGGGGCAGGGAAAGAGGCTGGGAGTCATGTAGATACATATATTAGAAAATAACAATTATAATGCAATAATTTTAACAAATATTTATCATATCCTTGGACTAGTTTCATTTTTATCCATATGTTTCAAGAAACAGTTTTTGTATACCGGTATTGTACAATTAGGGACCTAGCATATTGAACCTACAT